TGTAACGCTGTTTGTTCGCTATCGGCTACGATAGAAACATGACGTCACAATATGTCGACCCTCATAGAAGGGGGTGCCCGCGTTTATGTAGTAGGGATGGCCCGATACCATTTTTTTTCAAACCGATACGAGTACGAGTATTTACATTTGTGTACTTGCCGATACCGAGTACCGATACCGATATTTCTACCGCAAAAGTAATAGGCTCCCAGAAAAGAAGACGACTATTTTAGAACACAGGTTAGAAGACTGTTTTTATTTTCTTCTCTGCTTGTTTTAACAAGTCTAAAAATAAATAAAAATTAGTAAAATAATAAATGTATTAACACACAAACCACTGTTAATTTAACATAAAAGCAAGCAGGCTACTGCGTGCATGGTCTGGCATGACTGAATGCGCGCAAAGTGCGCTCCCTTAATAAATCCTAAAAGCTGACAGTTCATCGCGATCTCACACATCTCTGTTATTATCAATGAAGCTGACTGCACCATAAATCTTTCATAATATCCACACTTTGTTTGTTATAATTAGAGGATTTGCCAGCATACAGAATTCAGCACTGAACAAAAAAGTCCGTTTTGAGCGGTGAGGGGAGTCTATCTTAAATGCTTCTGATTGGCCATTGCGTTCCAGAAATCAACACATATGTCTGTGATTGGCTACATCGCTCAACGCTGTAACCATGTTATGAATAGAAACTCTGGCCTGTAAATCGTTTCTATTTTGTTGTAGTTGTTCTTGTTGCTTTTATGCAAGAGATGAATAAAAATCTTTTAGTTTTTATGTATTATTCATAGATATTTCTAGTTTGCGGGAGTCCCGCGAATCGTTTTATTCTCCCGTAACCCGCACACACAGAGTGAGTCGTTACCGCCCGCGCGCGCGCTCGGCCATCAGATCTATGATGCGTCTTCAGATGTTTAATTAGATTGCTGGTGTTAAACGATGTACTTTCTTTCCCTCCTCTCGACACCTTAGCTGAACATAACTCACAGTCTGCCTTGCTGTTGTCATCATCCCTTATCTTGAAATGAGCCCAAACCGCCGACATTATACTTTCCTATGCCTCAGTTCACCTCGACAAAGCACTCGCGGCGGCCAGTTTCGTTTCGCAAAATGTACGTGGTATCGGTGCGTGGTATCGGCGAATATTTATGAGTACGAGTACGAGTATATTAGGACAGTATCGGCCCGATCCCCGATGCCAGTATCGGTATCGGGCCATCCCTATTATGTAGATATAAATGTCTCATTCTAAGGTAATAAAAACATTACGGTTTATTAAGTAAGTTATTTGTACACCACTGAAACCACAGTTATGGATGTCATATTGCATTTCTGTTAATAGATACTCAAAATTGTTACATTGCATCTTTAAAGCAGCAAGCTGTGATTTGACTATGTTGATCACTCACTTCCGTAGACATCAGTGTTTATATCTAAACTATAAACTTTTATCCCAGTATTTCTGTGATAATTTGAATATTTGTAACCCAGAAAAAACGAAACTGTGTGGTTGAACGTAAAGCTGTTTTTATACCTATATATTACAATGCTTGTATATTTTGTGCAGGCAATTAGTTTATTTTGTTGTAAATAAAAAACCCTGACAATGTCACTGCTAAATAGGCTACTACCTATAAGTATTGTGGTAGCTACATGTTTCTCACTGACGCCCCCAACACAAAGTTCGGGGCACAAAGAAAATCCCGAGCTTCCCACAAGTATTTACGACTTTGTGGTGGCATTCATGTGCGTTCAATTCGTAAATACGATCTTTCCGACAAGACTTGAACGCAACACAAGACCAGCCCAACATTTATTTCTTTTGTGATAATAACTCAGTATGTAACAATGCGGGGAAAAAATAGATCTGCCGCGAATTCCGTAGCAGTGTGACTTTAAACACACAATTCTTCATCTGGTGTCTTCAGTGGGAACTTTTATCCTGAATGAATTTGAATGAATTTTAAGAGCCACAGTTGAATTTTTTATTTCACAGTTATTTGATTGTACGCACAAATGCTTAAAATATGGAAGATTTTATCTCACAATTGCGAGTCAGAATTGCAAGATAAAAAGTCGCAAATACCTTTTTTAGTTTTTTATTCTGTGGCGGAAACAAGCTTCCATACTTAAATATATACATTCATTTATAAAATAAATTTAAAGTCAACATAAAATGTTTGACCATTTTACTTTCATAATTTATTCTAATGTATTGCAGGATATTCAACAAAAAAACAAATAAATAGGGCAATGCTTGATTTTATAAATCAATAATTGACTGGATCGTGTAAAAAGGGCATTACATACCAAATTGGAGCCAGATAAAAAAATAAAATGTTTTAAAAAAAGATCTGTAACAAAAAAGTTGCTAGAGAGGCTAAGCACTTTAAAAAAGAATTACAAAGACAAAAAAGGGGGAACACTTTGATTCATTCTGAGATATTGTACAATTTTTGACTGTCACATATCATTTTGAAAGGCCCCTTTTGAGTCAGGTATTGATCTGTTATATAAAAGTTCAATGCCATTTCCTGCCAAGAGGATGAAGTGTAGATATTGCTCTATCACTTGTAGTTATGAAATTGCTTTGTCTTCTAGTTCCTAGAAACATTAATACTGCCAGTTTACAAAAGCCTGGTGTTGTGTTTCTCATTCTTTCCACAAATTCAAGATTCACACCAGGGTGGCGATGTGACAGCTATTTTAGAGAGCCGCATAACAAATGTTTTCTTTTAATTGAGCAACTGTTTGGAACTTTGCATGAATGGTTACATGAAATGTGCATGGGAATGGATACATATTCTGCAGTTATTGAGGTCTAGCTAAACAACTTCAAGTAAGTCCTGCAAGGAGATCTTTCCTCGTGAGCAGTGACATTTTAAGGGATGTTCTTGATGCGTTTTGTCAATGAGGCGGGATCTAAGCAGGCCTTCTACAATTCTAAACCACAGATTTATTTAAAGATGCTGCTAGCTACTTCTGACAGATAAAAGCAACCTGATCAAAGGCCATTCTCCTATGTTTTAAAGGAGCTGTATGTAAGATTGTGGCCAAAATTGATACTGCAATCCCTTTCAAATTACTGTAGAGCTGTGTATCCCCTCCCCCTCCCCCCTGACTGAGGTTGCCAGATAGGCTGCAGGATCCAGCAGGAACATAGGCTGCTACAAGGAGCTTTCAACTAGAGCAGAGCTGGCAACCCGGATGCCGAAACACTACTGACTTCGTGATTGGTAGATAGGTGGAGGGTGCTTCAGGCCAAAACACAAGATGACAACATCAACATCAGTTGAGGGCTGCAACTTCACTTTTTAAATGACAATATCGTGGCCGTACTACTGTTGTCAGTGATATAAGTATTTGAAATGAACATGATTTCTTAATGTCTAGAGACACATCAGGGCCATTTTATGATTAATTGAAATACATTTCTTACATACAGCTCCTTTAAGTAAAAGAGAACAGAAACAAATGCAAGTCTCACTGTTGCGTCTGTTCGCATTTAGTTTATAAAATATGGCTACATTCACACAGTCAGTATTTGGGACTGACAACTGCATTGACTAATGAGTCTTTCAAGTTGTGTTGTATAATAGCAGACAAAAGCTATGTTTATGGACAGGCAACTAAGGTCAATTCCCGTCTGTATTCTCAGAATGGCCTTGAATAACACCTGTAACCATAGGGACAGATAACATCAGCATATACAATTCATTCTCAGATGGCTTCACTTATAAAAATGCAAAAAATAAATAAGAATGTGAACATTACCATCATATTTCTGGCTACCTATTTAATCGAAAGCCTTGTACTATAAGCACCCTAATAAAAAAAGGCCAAAAATGGTATTCAAAGTTATAAAAAATATATCATGGCACTACTCTATAAATATCTTTTAAGTAATTTTAAGGGAAAGAAAATGTAACAATTCTACAGTTAAACAGTAAGTCACGCATACTCTTAAGTTACTAAGTTAGACTAAACTGAAAAAAATTATATATTCAACAGAAAACAACATGCAATTTTACCATAAATTAAATTACTGTGAAAAATGTTTAATTTGACTAAAAAGTATGAATCATAATTTACTGTGAACATAAATTATATTTAATAAAGCAAGTTAAAAGTCCTGTTAAAAATACAGGAAATGTAAAATAGAAACTTGGAGACTTATATGTACTTATATGTATATCACGTCTCCAAGTTTCTTTTTTACATTTCCTGTATTTTTAACAGGACTTTTATAGATATAAAATAATGTGCATTTATTTTACGTGACATTTTATGTTGTTTAGTTAATGTTTATTGCATTATTTCATGTCTATATATTTATTCATTTAATAGTTATTGTTCGTGACTTTAAAATGCCTTTTTAACAACATCAATGACCCATTTAGACACTACACTCAAGCCGTTGGGTTAAATTTTTAAATTGTATTTTTAATCCAACGTTTGGGTTTGTCCATATTTGACCAAAAATTGGGTTAGAACAACCCAGCATTTTATTTTGAGTGAATGACACATTTCTACATTTAAATATTTAACTAAATTTCCAACTGCCATTGGTAATAAAATTAAATGATAGATGCCATCACTTATAGACTGTCAATCCACATGATGTCCGCAAAACAGCACCGCCTACTTCCGTTAGGAGTGGATGTGGTTCAAGACAAGAATTGTATAATATTCATTTACCCGGATGCTTTGCAAACGTCCACTTTGTCCTAAGCACTCGTATTTTACTCCGTGTTCAGAGGCTCAACTGGATCATAAACGTCTAATCCTTTTTGTTGTCGTGTGTTTTGTTCGGAACGAAAGTACTCTGACGAAAACTGAAGTGTTTTAGTCGATCCACGTTGAGTGTGGGCCCGATAGCACGCGTTGGCCACTGGGTGTCGCTCTGGAGCAACAAATGGCGCGGCGTCTCCCCCACCCCCTAAACACCCACTTCGACTGTGTGTATGTGTGCGTATGTGTATCGCCGAGAAAGTAAGTCTGTGTTTCCAGCTGACTGCTCGCTCTCTCTTAGTGTGTGTGTGCCTGTGTGTGTATGTGTGTTGTCATTATTATTATCCAGTCTGCTCCCAGCTCAGAATGGCCAGATTCACTCAGACTGAGACAAGAAGGGAGCAGCACCCACAGCCGCCCCATCCCGCTTACTCCAGCCTGCTTTTCACTGGACCCGGGGCAGCACCGACCCAACATCCACTCCTCCTAATCCCGCACCAGCACCAGTACGCTCAGATCCCATTCCCTAATCCCATGAACGGGTCAGAATCCATCTCCATTCATCAGGAGAACGGCACCATGAAAGACCAAGATGCCATAAAACTCTTTATCGGGCAAATACCGCGGAACCTTGAGGAAAAAGATCTGAAACCATTATTCGAACAGTTTGGGAAAATCCACGAATTGACAGTATTAAAGGACCGATACACCGGCATGCACAAAGGTAAACGCGTGATTCCCCTTAATAGAGTCTGTGATTTTTGGGTGGTTAACACTATAGCCTAATAATGTTTTATTTCTTAGTGACACATTCATAATTAGACGTGTGCATATTTTTTTATTTTTTTTTATTTAATATTGTCTTCTGCATTATTCATTACGAACCATGCATTATTGTAATATTTAATATAGCCTAAATCATACGTGCAATTTTGTGGCACTGTCTGTCATGTCAACATTAAACCCATAGCCTGCTGAAAGGTCCATTTACACGAGCCACTGTTTTACACGTGCATTGTTTTTTAGAGAGAACTTATCTTCTCAGTTTTGAACCTTTGCATTGTTGCTCGCATGCATGCTATTATGTATTGTCCCTCATATAGCATGTCTGGGGACCTTGCCTTTCTCTATGGCAGTTTGATTTTGAACGCTTTCATTTGAAACTGGGGCAAATAGGCTTAGAAAATTCATAATTAAAGAGTCTTTGCGTCTTCTTTCCTTTTCAATGGGGAAATACTCCCACCACCCCCAACGCTTCCTTGTGCAATCTGACATATGCAGTTCTCGCAGATGAACCGGCGTTTTTATTACGATTTTATGCATATTAATAAGAAGAATGTTGATTCACAATACATACGAACCTCATTTTTCAAAATATAACTGTTAAATGAACCAAACAGGTGCCAGAGTAATGAAACACGCGAAAATATTAATAGTAGCCTACAGAAAAACGCGCATACTACTTATCTGATCATATTTGCTCTTAGAACACGTTCAGTTGTGCGTCACGGAACGCGTTACACTGTGGCGTGACGTTCCACTGGACAACTGACACTGAATACGTCATATATCCCACTCAAACCAGAAGACAAAGACTAAAATTAAACCTCTATTTTGGAATAATCTCGTTCTTGTCGTTTATTCTCCTCAAGCGATATGTGTCGGAAACAGAATATTCACATTTGTCTTCGTTAGTGTCAGTTACTATTGGCTTCATATCAGTGGTGTGTTTATAATTATGCTAATAAGGCTCTATTTGCTCAAGCGTTCAGCCACGATATTTACCCCGTGAAAAGCCCTGCTTCATGTGGGGGTTTAACTGTGTTGAACATGTCAGAATAATGAGAATATACATTGACTTAATGTGCGAGTGTTGTTCGTTTTCATTTGGGTAAATTGAACTAAACCAACGGTTTAGGTTTAGAAAACGAGCTGAAATGTCAAATTTATTCTTAATTTTTTTAGGTATCTATAACAAATGATAAGCTCTAGGGTGGATTTGCATGACAAAATTGGATTTGAACTTTTAGAGGGAAGTTAATGAAGTAGCTTATTACAACAGTCGTCCGTTATGAAAGCGCGCCATTTCTGACAAGATATAGTTACTCACCCGTCTATCCTTCTTTGATCAATTTGCATCAATAGTGACATGTAAATTATTTTATTATTTGAAATAATAACTTATGTAGCACATAATACAACACAGAAACACGGAGCATCCAATCTGAGTTGACTGTTTCTCAATAAGGATAGTCCTCTTGGGCATTGATGGATGTCAAGCTAATGTGGATACACCTTATCTAGTGCATTACTGTGGGCTGAATAGTCCCATCAATTAGACGTCTAAAATATAGAGCTTTTCAGTTTGTAGTTTCAAACCCATGGATTGAATTTGCATTTTGGAGCCATTGGGTTCCCTCAGGAATTAACAATGGTTTTATAATGGTGATTTTCCATTTATAAGTAAAATTAGGTAGCCTATGTGGTTAATAACCTCAAATGCAAATTTTGCGAGTTTTGTGTCAAAAATGGTGGTCAATAAAACACAAGGATGTGAGTTTACAGGCTTGTTTAATTTATAAAATGAAAGCTATTATTCTTAAAACCTAGGTAATTCCTGAAGACTTATACAAATTGACGTTATCACTGTTGTTTTAATGAATATTATGGTTGGTTGCGTACATATTAGTTGAACTTGCTGTCTGTGGCAGAGTACAACATCATAGGCCCAATGTTTTTCATCCTAAACTACCTGATTGTGCTTGTGATGTAGCTGCCTTTGGGACAGGAACTGAAAATGAGTTCTAAAGGATCGCACAGAGAATTGGTTCTTCAGGATGGAATTTCTTTTCATCTTATGTATTATTCTATGAGGGGATGTGAAGATAAGAACAAGTCAGCAAATATTTACATACACTTTTTGTCCGCTTATAGAGATTGTGCAGTCTTGCGAGTCTTCTCAATATGGACTGCATTGGTGATGTAGACCCCAAGGTTGTTTAAATGTTTGGCTAAAATGTCGCTGAGGATGCTAATGTAATTTTTCATTCAAAACGTGATGGAGTGCAACAGATGATGCCAGTACTAGTTTGCATAAATACAATTCGCAAAATTGCATTGAAGATAAGCGATTTAGCTGTGAAAGCAAGACATTTGTGCATCTGTTTTTAACAGTTCTTCAGACTAAAGGGATCATATGTAGGTTTCAGAGGGAGGGAACATGTTTCGGCGCTAAGTCAGCTCGCTAATCCACACAGGAAAACACAGCATTAGTTTGCTAAGCGTGGTAATAAACCATGACCGTAATGACGGAGGAGGATTAGCAACTGTAGTTATTGTCTGAGGTTGCTGTCGCTCGGATCACTTGGTTTGTCCCTCTACAGTGGCTGCTTCTATGCAATTAAAGCATGTTGGAGTCATCTTAGCCTGCGGTGTTCAAAATGAACATTATTATGAGGTCTGTTCCATGGGCCTAACAATTGCTGTCTCTTGATTTGTATTAACAGGTGAGCTTTTCCCCTTCAGGCTTTTCACCTGTGATCAGTTGAGCTCAGCATTTTATTAAAGTTTTTAATATTTAGTATGGAGTTGAAAATGGGTTTTATACCCACAGATGTGCCTGCAAAGCTGGAGACACTTGCTATGCTGTATTTGTAATCTTACATGAGCGTGGTATATAGATCTCCAACTGCGTTTAGCATAAATAGACTATTGTTGCATTGCTTTGAAAGCCTCTTGCGCACATTTTGCACTCTGCAGGTGAAGATGTCCAAGGATAAGCTTGCGTTGGCTTACAATGCAAGAGGCATGGAGAACACTATACACAAACATATGCAAGGTTCTTTAGACTTAAACCTGATGCTGACTGAATGTCTGTGCTTAATGCCGCCACTTTCACATGTGCTAGTTTAGATTGTCAATACTTGCTTTCAAGGGACCTATTGTGCTAATGCATTTTTGAAATAATCTTATAAAGTATTTAACCGTTTTAATTTAAAGCCAGGCTATAGAACGGTTCAGTACATATAAATGTAAAGGTAACCTTGTTGAATAGTGATTTGAATAGTTTTATTTGTACTATTATAAAGGGTTTGATTAAAATTGTTTTTGTTGCCTTTCAGCAAATTACATCATAAATTCCCTATTAATCGAAGTTAAAACCTATTTTGTCTGTTTTACAAGGAACCAATGTTAGCTTGGTAGCATATGTAATTCATTTGGACGGGTATCCTTCTTAAAGGCGCAATATGTAAGATTTTTGCATTAAAATATCCAAAAACCACTAGAACAATGTTATATATTTTGTTCACTTGTGTACTTATGTTATCCCAAATTTATCCAACAATGTTTTAAATCCAGAGAAATATGCTATTTTAACCAGTGACCCGGCCTATGTTATTACGTCGCCTGTCAATGACATCATATCCTCCTTACCCTCAGCTGTCGGTAGAAAGGAATGAAAACTGCACTTGTCCAGTGATTTTCATGTTTTTTTTTTAAACAGGAGGTCATTGGCTCTGCTTTGAAAGTTAAATATGTCCTGTGGCTTCTTTATGACTTAAAACTAGTCTGACAGTCCATAGACCCAAACATCTGTAAATTCTGTAATATGCAACAAAGCCGATTAATGAAAAATTGCGACACTTCAGTAGCTCTACTGTCAGGAACCGTAGCTCTGAATGCCAGGATGAGATGTTTCCTCTTACCAGCGAGCTTTGCTTTGAGCTACTTGTCTTTTCATGTGACCTGGCCACTTATCTCCCCTTTACCTGCTTTTAGATGGACTTTCCTCCATGCGAAGAGGGTTATTTATCTTTTTTTAAGATGGAAAATGTTTTTTTAAGGCCATTACCATTCATCAGGAGATGGCACTTACAGTAGAGTATTCTAGACATCCTTCTGAGGAAAGAGGTTCAGTGACCTTACGTAACATGTCCGTTTTGTTGTCCGAACATAAAACACAAAAGCGAAATTATTGATGCGCTATTCTAAGATGCGGTGAATCTCTCCCTTGTGACCGTTTTTACGGCGGATAATAAGCTGGTCTTCAAACGTGTCATAATGTCGGCTGTGTTTGCTAATAGAAAGCCCACCGGACTCCCTCTCCCTTCCCAGATTGATCTGTAATTTGTAATCTCACTGCTGTAGGATCCAAGAAAATAAACGTATTAAGCATATTACGTTTTTTAAGTTATACTTAAGCGATGAAAATTATATAATTAATGTTACTGTTAGGTGAAATAATTTGTTTGTATGTGTATTCTTTTTCCATGTTAAACTATTTTCTTCTATCACAACTAAAAGTAAACCATTTGTTACTCAATTTCTGTGAAAAGTGTGGCGAATTCATTTCAAAACCTTTCTTTGTTTGTTTCTCGACCTGGATTGCTTTTCCTGTAGAATGATGTAACGTTTTTTTTTTGCATTTTCGCATATCCATTGTTTGTACCGTGTTGGTTCAACCATATAGATCTCTTAAAAAAAGTGCTTTCATTGTCTTGACAAACTGAAAGACGTAGAATGAAATATGTACATGCATAAAATGAAAGATTGTACAGTACTGCATGTTAGTTTGTGTATTTTGTATTTTAATTCCACATCGTACTAACAAGAAACTATACTTTCAGAAACTATAGCCACGTCCAGAGCTGTAGTTTTGACTACACAACTTTACGATGCTTTTTGCAAATGTTCGTTGGAATGGTCTCAGGAAACATTGAATCG